AACTTCAGCTCAGGTCAGATCTCACAGTTCGTGGGTTCAAACCCCACGTCGAACTCTGTGCTGACAGCTCAGAGCCTGGAGCCTGCTTTGGATTCTGTGCCTCCCTCTCTCTCTTCCCCTCCCCCACTCATACTCTGTGTCTCTTTCTCTATCAAAAATAAATAAACATTAAAAAAATTTTTTTTCACGAACCTATGTTGACACATCATTGTCACCCAGGGTCCATAGCTTACAACAGGGTTTACCTTTGATGTTGTGCATTCTGTGGATTTGAACAAATGTATAATGTCCCATATGCATCATTAATTACAGTGTCATACAGAGGGCTTTCATTGCCCTAAAAATCCTCTGTGCTCTGCATATACATCCTTCCCTCCCTCCCACCCGCCACTTCAAACCGCTGGCCACCACTAAATTAATCTTTTTACTGTCTCCATGTCTCCATGGTTTACTGTCTCCTTTTCCAGAATGTCATATAGTTGGAGTCATACAGGGTGTAGCCTTTTCAGATTGGCTTCTTTCACTTAAATATGCATTTAAGTTTCCTCCATGTCTCTTCATGACTTGATAGCTCATTTCTTTTTAGAGCTGAATAATATTCCATTTTCTGAAAGTGCTGCCATTTAGTTATTCATTTACCTACTGAAGGATATCTTGGTCGCTTCCAAATTTTGGCAATTATGAATAAAGCTGCTATAGAGCTGCTATTACTGACTTTAAGATAAACTGTATGTATGACGTTGCTGTGGTCATTGATCTGTGGAAAGGAATTTAGCCCTATGCTTGAAACAACCTAGATTTGAGTTGATCAACAATATAATTTGGGGAGATATACTAAAAATTATCCTTTTCATTTTCATATGAATTTAACTTTTTAATATTTATTTATTTTTGAGAAAGAGAGAGAGAGAGACAGAGTGCGAGCTGAGAGGGATGGAGAGAGGAGAGGGAGACACAGAATGTGAAGCAGGTTCAAGGCTCTGAGCTGTCAGCAGAGCCCGATGCGGGGCTCGAACCCACGAACCGCGAGATCATGACCTGAGCTGAAGGTGAATGCTCAACTGACCGAGCCACCCAGGTGCCCCTTATTTTCATATGAATTCATTTTTATATAAATGCATCTGACATGAATCCCTACTATGTGCCAGTCTCTATGCTATGGAAGATAACAGGCACAAAAGCATCTCTGTCCCCAAGAGAGTCTAGAAAAGAAGACCTATATTCAATGGCTATACAAGGATACATGCATAGGAAATAACACTGGTTCTCTATGGCTGGAATATCAGAGTAAATAAGTTTTGACCTAGGTCATGCCCCTGTTTCCAGAACACTCAAATAAAACGTCAGTAAGAGAAAAATAACGTTTTTTGGTTTGCGTTAAACATTTCCAAGTTCTTCTATTTCTCTTTTAGTTACTTACCCTAACTGTTCTTGCAGCTTTTACTCCTTAAGGTTTTTGCCTTCACTTGTTTGCATGATGTCTTTCTCGAGATGCATTTCTTATAAATTCTCCGATTAAAAAAAAAAAAGATGCATTTCTTTTGAAGCTCTTGAATCTTTTCATAGCGTTTCCTCATCGGTATATGGTGGATGAGTATTGGGTATCATTGACAAAACTAGCCACCCACCACCCTTCTGTTGCACCTATGAGAGAAGTCTTTTTTTAATTGGCATCATCCTGTAAGAAATAAAATGTTGAGGCACCTGGGTGGCTCAGTCCGTTAAGCGTCTGACTTTGGCTCAGGTCACGATCTCACGGTTTGTGAGTTCCAGCTCCACATCAGGCTCTGTGTTGTCAGCATGGAGCTTGCTTTGGATCCTCTGTCCCCCTCTCTCTGCCCCTCCACCCTCCCTCAAAAATAAACATTAAAAAAAGAAGAAATAAAATGTCATAAGTATGTATTTTTTTAGTAATCTCTACACCCGATGTGGAGCTTGAACCCATGACCCTGAGATCAAGAATCACACACTCTTCTAACTGAGCCAGCCAGGCGCCCTCTAAAATGTCCACGTGTATAGAGGCACAGCAAAAAAGCAGCTGGGAACACATATTTCCAAACCAAATAAAGTGTCTTCAAACCTTAGGTATCATCTGCATAGAACTCTGTAGTCTTATTGGTCTGGTATCTCTGAACGTTTAAATTAAAAAGAAGGCCTCCCACAGTCCATTAATTTTTAGACCCTGGAAAAAGTATTTTGAGAACACACTTTGTAAGATTTAGTTTGTGTTTATTTATTTATGACTAAAGCACTCTACTTTGGTATTATTTTCCTTGCCTATATTTTGTCTCCTAAACTGAGATAAGCCAATGTCACCTACAGTTTTCAGACCTGAACTGAGTTTCCTTTTCAGGCCAATGACTCTCCTAAGTAACATCCTTTAAATTACATTGGATTGCATTGTTCACCATCCTGGAACCTGGAACCTGTGAGCGGGTGTGCGTGTGCACATCTGCGTGGGTACTTAAAGAGACATCCCTCCCAAACAATATTCTTAAAAGGGTATTTTGTGTTCTGCTGTGTTCTATTCAGTGCCAGCACTTCAAATATTGCCAGAATAGAAGAAATGGAGAGACTTTTGAAGCAGGCGCATGCGGAGAAGACTCGGCTGCTTGAATCCAGGGTAGGTACAATATCTTTCCACCAGAGGTCAATGAGCTCATGGTTCAAGTTGTCCTGCACCTGACAGGAAACCGTCCTTGGGCCTTATTAACCAGTATAATCTTGGAGTCGTCACTCAACCTTTTTGGTCTCATTTTTGTTACCTGAAAAGTAAGGGTGTTAGGATTTCTTGGCCTCCTGACCGCACTACAATATTTTGTAATTTAAAATAGGTATAGTGTCAACGTAGACCGAAATGAATGGTTTGTATTGAATTTTCCCTTTGATGGCCACTGTGGTTGCCTGCCAAAGAACAAGGAGGAATATCATGTCTTTATGTTTTCTCTCTTCCTTGCCAGCTTGTGTGAACTGTGCTATTGTAATATTTAAAATCCCACGTTATTGTGACTGCATTTCAAGCCAGAATCTGAACTTCCTTAGGAATCCCCCCAAATGCCTTTGCATCCTGCCTTAAAGGGCCCCTCCTTTCCTCTTCCGACTTCCCTGTGGGCTTCCTCTGCTACCTCCAGCCAGGAAGCCACAAAGCAACAAAGAAACCAGAGGGACCGATGGCCTTCAGTTAGAAGATGGCCACTGAAAGGAGGGCTCAAGGTCATGACTAGTGTTGGGTGACCAGTTTGATCCTTTGTTTTAAAAATGCGAGGGTTGTAGTCACCAGCATGAAATGACTGAGTTCCACAGCTGGATGTTCACTTAATATTCAGTTGTTAACTAAATGTCATGGTTGCCTTTCTGCGTGGGATGATTTAAAAAACTATGTGAGGGGTGATTCTAGTCTAGGTGATATATTGTAAGAGCCCAGGCTATAAAGCCAACAATTGTCTAGGGAGAATTTTCTTTTCCATTAGTTGGAATCATCCAAGTATAACCAGTATATCTTAAAATTTGTTCGGAATAATGGTATTTAGGAACGGGAAATGGAAGCCAAGAAACGAGCTCTGGAAGAAGAAAAACGACGCCGAGAACTCCTGGAAAAACGATTGCAGGAAGAAACTAGCCAGCGACAGAAGTTAATTGAAAAGGAAGTAAAAATAAGAGAGAAACAAAGGGCACAGGTTGGTCGGTCAGTCTGGATGGATTAGAATAGGTTGCCCCCTGCTGGTCATTGTTTAGAAGACAGTCATGCTGTGTCAGGATGGCTTTCTTGGCACTGTGCTCAGCAGCCCTTCTTGACATGTAACTGCTGGGACAGAAACAAACAAACAAACAAACAAACAAACAAAATATATGCTTATCTCAAAACTCATTGAGGGGCACCTGGGTGGTGCAGTTGGTTAAGTGTCCCATTTCGGCTCAGGTCATGATCTCATGGTTTGAGAGTTTGAGCCCCACATTGGGCTCTCAGAGCCTGCTTTGTTTGGATCCTCTGTCTCCCTCTCTCTCTTCCCCTCCCCCCCCCTTTCTCTCTCATGCGTGGTGTCTCTCAAAAATAAGTAAACATTTAAAAAAAAACTCATTGAGACCTACTACTCAAATGATACTTTGGTCACGCATAGAACAATTCGGCGGGAGAGGCAGTTTTTCTTCTGCCCATTTTTAGGAGTATATTTAAAAGGACCATGTTTTTCCAAGCAGCTTTGAAAAATGCTGCCAGATACTGAAAACAAATACAACACCCAAACTAAAACCTTTGGTTGAGGAAGAGAAAAGCTTCTATGAAGCCATTTTTGGAAGCAAATACTCCAGAACAAAATAATTTTACCAACCCAATTTCTTGGTAGTTTTTTTTCCTAACCACTGTATTGTCACACATATCCCCTTTGCTACAGCCGTCCACACATGGGTGCAAGGTTACTGAACTCCAGCAAAACTCAGGAAAATCACCCATTTCCTTTCACTTCCAATCCCGTTTATCATAGAGTTTGAATCTTTGCAACTAAAAAGCTGCTTATCTAATGTAGGTCGGCTGAGGAACTAAAATAAAATCTTGTGAAGTGCCAATTATTTCAAGTTCAAACCCATTTTACCAAGTTTTACTAGACTTCATAAAAAGTACCATTCCTCTTATTCTTCATAGTTGCTGGCAGTTTGGTAGCATGGCAGTGAGAGACCCATCTTGGAGACTCTGTGTGTTTTTGAGGTATCAGTAAGTCTCTGGCATCTGTCTAAAGTCAAAGTACCACAGACTCAAAGGCAAAATATTGCAGGAAAAATTCAAAGTAAAACTTGTTCATTTTATTTCATTATGCCGATCCTTTGCCAAATTATGATTCGCGGTGAAAGTCATCCCTGGCTATTTGGTATTCGAAGCCAATCCAAAAAAGTACAATTCTCTATTTGAATCCTAATTATAAGGTTTTCCTCCAAGTATATATGTAGGTCATTTTCCCCAGGGCAGAAGGATAGGGTTATTAACAGAATAAAGTCAAACACCATTTTGGAAATGTGACCCATGGTGATACGTGCTTCCTAGATTAGACGAACTTCTCTACTCCAGCCATAGTAAAATAAAAGACATCCACATACATCTTTTCCATATCTGCTCATTGGATAGCTCATTGAGTATGGCTTTGATTCCACATCTCACCTTATTTTAGCTTCACTTCTCAAAACATACATCTCTGCCTTCAATTTCTACCAGAGGGTGTGTATCAGCCAACATGTATAGCTTTAGGGGATCTCGCAGGGCCGGGGGGGGGGGGGGGGTGTACTTACTAAATACTGTTCACCAGTCATGTCATGTCTGAGATTATTTAAGAACTAATGTTAGGTGGTGATAGGGAGAGGCCCAGGGAACTTCGTGCCTCATTTCCCTGTGTTTTGAAGTGCGATATGCCTCTTGTAAAACTAAGGTTAATGACGTTTTTCCATTTTCTCATCTGCCCTTCTCAAGGAGTAGAACCTGTCCACCTGAGTTTATCCCTCCCCCTCCCCCGCATATTGTAGCATCCTTCTGAAAACACTATGCATTTTTTAAACTCCAAAGAATAATGTTTATCTTCAGTTCTCATAATCACATGAACACTTGAATGCTTAGGCTTTCCAGTTCATGTCCACTCAAATAACTGTGACCTTAAACGAAATAAGTACTTAGCTATATATGACACGGGGTTGTGCTTTTCCAGGCCCGACCTTTGACACGCTATCTGCCCGTCCGGAAGGAAGACTTTGATTTGCGAAGCCACGTAGAGACTGCCGGCCACAATATCGATACCTGTTATCATGTATCGATCACAGAGAAGACCTGCCGAGGATTCCTTATCAAAATGGGTGGAAAAATTAAAACTTGGAAAAAACGATGGTTTGTGTTTGATCGGAACAAGCGCACATTCTCTTATTATGCAGGTGAGTGATAAAAAACTCTTAAGTGATATATTCAAATCAGGAACTCTCTGTTAAAGAGCAAAGGTAATAAAAGTCAGTATAAATAGGTTGATTGGTAACTAATAGAATTAAGGGCAATATTAGCTTTGTAGGTCTATATTACTTTATATTAGGGTTGTATAGTCCCCATGATATGTATGATTTCCTCTCTAGAAATAAATATTGGGGGCACCTGAGTGGCTTAGTCAGTTGGGCATCCGTCCGACTTTGGCGTGGGTCATGATTTCAAGGTTCAAGGGTTCGAGCCCTGCGGTGGGCTCCGTGCTGATAGCTCAGAGCCTGGAGCCTGCTTTGGATTCTCTCTCTCTGCCTCTCTCTCTCTCTCTCTCTCTCTCAAAAATAAATAAACATTAAAAAAATTTTTAGGGGCACCTGGGTGGCTCAGTCGGTTGAGCATCTGACTTTGGCTCAGGTCAGGATCTCGCAGTTTGTGAGTTCGAGCCCCGTGTCGGGTTCTGTGCTGACAGCTCAGAGCCTGGAGCCTGTTTCAGATTCTGTGTCTCCCTCTCTCTGCCCCTTCCCCACTCATGCTCTGTCTCTCTCTGTCTCTCAAAAATGAATAAACGTTCAAAAAAAATTTTTTTTAATTTTTAAAGAAATAATAAAAATTATCTATTATTTTAAAAGTGTGAATTAGTCTGTTCGGGTTCTGAAATAACCTGAAGTCTGAACAAATATTAAATGGAGTTTATCCTTTTAGACCAAAATATTGACTTTTATACTACAAAGCCAGAAAAAAGGTTTCTGTTTATTTATTTATGGTCATATGACCTATTTAAGTCACACACAATTAGGCAGCCTTAGCTAACAGACATCCAGCTACAGTCTGTAAATTAGGATGTTATTTAAGCCGAGAGTAAAGCTCATCAGTGAACAGGTGAACAAGTATTTATTAACTGACTGAAATATTTTTGGATTGCTTAAATGATGGATTGTGAGAAACATACCCCCCTGAGTCTTCAAAAAAATACAGGAATATTTATGTAACTGCTGTACTTACTAAAAAGTCTCGGGGCACCTGGATGGCTCAGTCCGTTAAGTGTCCAACTCTTTTTTTTTTTTTTTT